TTTATAATTTGAACCTCCCACCATTGTTAAAATGAATATTAAATGTCCATATGACCAAACATGCTTGCAGGCTTTCACAGCATGTCCTAATTTTTTCACATGACTGTATGTTAAGATAAAAAAAAAAAGGCAACCAAAACTCAAATTTGTATTCCTTGCTAAGCTGAATTCCAAAAAGACACTCATGCTCACTCATCTAAAAAGTAATCCATTACCTGATGTGCTCTCTGCAGCCAGAAAGATGAGTTGGCACACACTGTATTGTTAAATTCATGGGCAAAGAACTCGCTGCAGACATGGACCCAGAGGAAGTCCTCCTCTGCAGCAGACAGGTACCAGGCTGCATCAGAGCACGTAGCATGCAGGTCGAGCTCCATCTGATCCATTGCAGGGTTAACTGACCCATTCTCACCTTCAAACAGTTTACAATAGAGGAATACAGTGAAGTTAGAGACGCCGGTCAAGCCTGGGATGGATTCATTACATGCGGCCTCCAGGATTTCTGTAGAGGTGGAGTACTCCATCTCCTTCTGCTGACCGGTGCTCTCTTTAGTCTCTGTTTGTGACTGGCTGTTAGGTGCAGTTAATGGTTCAATGTGAAGCTTTTTGTTGGAGACTTTACGTGAAGCGGGAGTGGCTTTTGGGGTTGACTCAGCTGGTGATTTTGGTGATCTTGGCTCATCTCCTTCAGTGGAAGGGCAGGACAGGAATGGGAGGGAACTCGGGAGGCCCCGGGAGCTTACACCCAAAGCTTGAGTGTTCCACATCACGTTGTGCCTTATTCCCCTACAAATCCACAGACAGAACAATGTCTGTTTTGTTTTGCTAGATATTTAATGCAAAATATATCAAATTAAATCAAAAACTAAGTCATTTATATTTCTAATATCTCTTACCATAAGATGAGCTGTCGTAGGTCGCCTTCAAGAAGACCGATAAGAAAGGAAACATTATTTGGAAATCAAAGTGAATAAGTAGTGGAAAAGCAGCTGGAAGCTTCTGCAGTACACAACCATGGATGATGTAACACTGCAGCTCGGCTAACAATGCCCAACATATAAAGTTACTGACATCAATGGGAGGATTAACAGATGCCCTCACTGGCCAGGATGATTATAACGTTTTTAAAGCAGTGTCATTCACTGTCACTGTCCTCTCCCTGGGGGGTTTCTCTGGGTTAAAATTGTTTTCTGAACAAGCACTTTTTATGGAAACTACCGGAAGAGAATGTGTGACCTTATTTAATTATGAAATTATGAAAAGATTCTGATGTTAGTTTGTGTTTAAATGCAAAAAACAAAGATTTCTAACCACATCAGATAAATTTAACTCCTGTTTTTTTATTTCTTCTAATTGTGAGAACAACTTTAGACCAAATCTCATATAAATACTCACCAGCGGAGCACCGGCTCCGGGTTTTGGGCTGTGGCGTATCCACCAGGCTGCTAACGTCATCAAGCAGCGCCATTGTGACTCTTGATACTTTCTCCCTCAGGTTGCCATAGACAGAACTGCCCACCCTGTGCAGGAGGCCCCTCCTCAGCCCATCCAAACTCTGCACGAGAGCTAAATTTTTCTGTGCCAAATTGCCTCCTCGCTCACCTCCACCCGAACGTGACAAAGCCTGCAGCAGCAAGCTTTGCATGGAGTTTGCCTCCTCCTCGGTGGCTACCATTTCATTCATGGATGCATTTCCGTACAACCCATTCTCTCTCATGGCCTCAGGGGGCAAGCTGAAGGGCTTTAAACGTCCGAATGCATTCGAGCCCTTGCTGTGTTCAGCAGCTTCCCCTGCTGGGTGCAAACTAACTACAGGCTTCCAGTTGCGTGTTTCTAGGAACAGCAGCAGCTGCTGAAGCCAGCTGACACTAAAGGCACAGTCAGTGCGACCCTTCAGTGCACAGATGAAGCTTTGTAGGCCTGCACTGGCCTGACCGTAGGTCCCGCTGACGAGAGCCTGAAGAGCAGCTTCCAGCACAGCACTCACTGTCCTCCAGTTTTGAGCTATGAAAGTCAAGAAGGGCCTGTGAGACTGACGCTCTGATAGAGTGATGAGGCTCTGCAGCAGGCCTAGGAGCCAGTCCCAGTGTGGGCTACCTCTGAGGGACAGAAACCAGTCCTGCACTCTAACGCTGGGCCGGGGTGGCACCCGGCCGTTCCACTGATTCTGGGCAGCGTTTCCTTCAGACTGCAGGAAATAATGCAGCACTTTCTCCCAAAGCTGCTCCTCGTCTGGCTCTGCCGGCTCCTCCTCCAACTCAGCACCCATCTCCTGAAGATACATGGAGATGTTGTAGAGGAAGCCAGAGAGACGATGTCTGTTAATTGGCTTGTTTAAAGAAGGCATATTCCTGCTGGGAAGTAGACCAAGCGTTTTTAAGCCCCCCACGATATTCCTCATCCAAGTGGGCACAGACTGATCCTTGGTGTTTGTCTCAGTGGGAGCTCTCTGTGGATTTGCACCGCCTCCTTTACTCCACTCTGAAATGATCTCCTTCAGAATGGCGTATTTCTGGTCTTCCTTGCCACCTCCTATAAAATAGCATCAGAGATAGCTTGAGCTAGCATTGTGTAATAAACAGATAGTAACCAAATACATAAAAAAGTGGATTTGGTAGCATGTTTTGGTGGCCTACTCACCTGTCCTCTCAGGTGCTCCTTGTCTGAGTAAAACAGCACAAACTATGATGCTTGTGAATTTAAGAGCAGCCATCTCCGACCCTTTCATAGCCATCTTCATCTCACGCCAGCCCACACCGCGACTCGTTGGTGTCACATGTTGCTCTATAGACTGAGTCTGCTATTGATTTCACAAAACCCTCATTGAAATGCTTTTTCATTTTAGGTGATGGGGTTGGCCTTAAGGAGTAAAGTGTCTCAGTGGAAAGGGGATATTAAACCTTAATGCCTGGCTACCACATCACCTTACCATCATGGCTGCTAAAACAAGTATCAGTAATGTGATTAAGTCTTACAAATGTTGGGGCTGAAAATTTAAAGGGTCCACATTTTACACTGAATGGATATCTAAAGACTGTTAAACAGGATTCTTATATTCACACTTCAGTACATCCTTAGAATACCAGGATACATCTGTTTCATTAAAACTATGCTTTTGAATGATAATTATACTAAAGACAAAAAGAAGAGAACTTATTTTCTGAACTTACCCGCAGTTCCTATGCATTCATGCCTCTAAGTATCCTCTGAAGTGTTTGTCTAACACCTCCTCACACTGAGCGGTGTCAGCACGCTCTGCACTGACCTCTTCCTGAGTGCCACTCTCTATTTCACCATCGCTTGGACTTTCTCTACCTTTCACTCTCCTTCCCCACCCCTCCCCCCAGTGTCCTCTATCACTCTGTTATTTTAACTATTTGTGGCACCTTTTTCTTTGTCTCTGGGGTTCAGGCTGATGCTTGGATTAGTATTTCATGGTGTTAGTTGTGTGGATTGTTTGGGG